GGCGTCTTTGATGTAGGTGTAAAGTTTTGACAGGTAAGTGAGTACACGCTCACCTGGTGGAGGCTACTTTAATGTACCGCTACCTCGTCGACGACTGCTACCGTTTTAATAAGGTAAACAAAGATATAGTTCTTATTGCTGTGAAAACAATCAAGATGTTTCAACTTAAACAGCATGGCGGCTATACATGAAGAAAGAATTCCTGATTATTAACAACACAGACGTGGGAGTAATGAGTGGGTGGTGTATGGTGGTTGACTTAAAAGAAGCCCGATGGTCATGGTACGGGTATAAAGTCGAAAACTTCCATCCTTGAGTCATCAGTCATAGAGCTGCCCTAATCGAAACCAGCAAGACTTGTCACCGAGATCATCTTCACATTTCGAGCATTTTCTCTTTTAAAAGTATTCTATACAATTACCACACTATAATGAAAGTGAAGAGCCCCGAAACCAAGCCAAGCAAGTGTACCGTCAACAAGACAATCGTTCCGGCAAGGAACAGAATCAAATACTCTGCTAGTCAGGTAAACATTTAATTGCTCGAAACGTGAATAGGAAGAAAACATAAACCATTGTTATTTCAAAAGTAAATCGAAATACAAATTTAACACGTTTTCACCTCCACTATCCATATCCACAGTTGAGGCAACTGGAGAAGGTATTCGTGTCCTCTCAGTATCCTGACAGCTCCATCTTGGAGGATCTCTCCAACACCATCAACATCGACGTAGAGAGACTATCGGTAAGTAAATCCTCTTTATTACACCTAACAGAAGTTCTCGAAAGAGATAATTGATCACACAATACACAATATCATAGTGATATAAAACTCTCTTTCTTGTCCTTTTAAATGTACATAGGACCCATGAAATGTACTGAAGGGAAATTCTAACTTTTACTGCTTTATTCAGTTTATATAGTACATAGTTTGGACTTAAAGAATTGTTGTATATTTCATTTCATAATCTTTTCAACCCATATAATAGACCCTGATTTCATGAAATGTCTCTATAATAATGACCTCTTTCTGCCATACAGATCTGGTTCCAGAACCGCCGTTCCAAGTTCAAGCGTCAGTCTAAAGGTGCTCACGTGAACTGGATGAGACAGCAACTGTATCAACAAGGAACGTCACGGTCACGTGACGTAACGGCTACGGACGAGTGTCACGTGCTCACACCACCAACGACTTCCAAGAAAGATGACGTGAAAGACAAACCCAAATCAAAGTAAGTACACACCAAGTTAGTTACACAGGCGCGTAGTGGGCTCTTATTAGCTTCAACACAATGGCATGTCTGTCTCGGACTAACAACAATCTCTTCTCTTCTTCAGCCTCCACTACCTACCCAGCACTGGACCCGGCTGCTCCTCAGTGACGGACTACGACCCCGCCTACAACCCCCTGATGTACCCATCATCACACAACGTCTACAGCGCACTCAGTGACGCAGTATCCTGTACACGGCCTACCCAGAATACTCTCCACTACCCACATCTGATGACGGAAACATCCTTCCAAGTCACACCACGCCCGCAACAGTGGACAGAGTATTCCAACCAGTCCAACTTCAGCTCTCCCGGAACTCCATACTACCAGAATTATCTACCCCACTTCAACTTCCTAAGCGATCAGATGACATTTCCCCAGATAGGCGTCTAGAACTTTCGGGAATGTATTAGTGGTCAGATGAAGAACGAGGGCGTAATTTGTGCAATATGCACTGCAGTCCAATGTTGAACTCATCTTGGGCCTGATTTGTTACTATTAATGTATATATTGTTGTGTTTACGTTATGGATTGCAACTGTCATTTGAAGAGGACTGTGTAAATGTTTCTGAGATAATAAACATTATCTGAAAACTATCATTTCATGTTCTTATGCAGCACGCATTTTCCCACTTTCATGTAAACCACGATTACAAATATCTTACTAACAAAGGATCCTAAACAGGCGAATCTTGGATTCGAACACATGATTGGTGGATGTTGGTTGGACTAAGAGACAAACCTCTTCACAGTTCAAATGAATCTGCTTGAAGGAAACTTTTATTGTGAAATTTAACCGTCTTTAGGTTGTGTGATATGAAATATAAAGCATTGTATAAATCATTTTTTTAGCAAAGCCACCCTCACAGATATAGATCCTCACCTTCTTCGAAACATGTGTGTTGCAACTGCGACAGATATCCTGCTTTGCTCAGGTCACATATTTAAGAGTGTTGTGGTTACATATGTTCCATCGTATATAGGTAATAACTAAAACATTAAATGAAGCTATGTTTTCAAGGCTTGAATGATACATTTGGCATCAAATAACACTCGTGTTAAACTTTGAAGCTGCTCAGTTACGGTCAATGTGATAACCCGATCTATGCCTGTAAGGTATTATCAACAACTTTCGAATGCACTTGTAATCGCCATGTTGCGTATATGAGCCAAACCTTCATGCTGACGTTATCGGATTATCGGGCGCTTCCTTTGGATACCATTGGCTTAATAACAAGTTACCGTCTGGGAGCGTAAAACATATATATAAGGCGTGTCGGACAAACCAATTACGTCAATCAGTACTGTACATACATTATATACCACTAGTTCAAACCATTCATTATTTCATATGGTGAGAGATACAGACTGATAAACGGGAAATTTACCTATAGGGTGACCCTTGTATTGCAGAAAAGCCAAGCAAGTAATGGTACAGCAATCACAGTATAAGGTGTCATTTACAGATATTTGGCTTATTACCACGAAAAAGTACATGGCAATAGTTTCAACAGCTTTAGAAAAGTTTGCCAAATCAATACTGACATTAAATTCTTCATAACCATCATTAAGGATCCGATTTTCTGTCAAAATACCATATGCATCTTCCAAATGTTATATATCAATTTATTTATGTGTCAGTTTAGGTACGTAATGTGTATTTCATTATCATATTGTGAGGCGCTAAATATACAGGTGAGGAACATCAAACGTCCCATGAAATACTTGCACCTTATCCCTCTATAAATTGTAAATATAGTTGCTGACTTTTCAGTTTCATGTGGGTTGTGAGTCTTCACTAAATATTAACTCCAAAAACATCTCTACACTTTAGTGTCAGCCAACTTCTAATATTTCGATCAAATGATAATATCCCTAACGTCGGAATATATAGAATCTGAGCGTGATCTTGAAATCGCTCAGTTAGCATAGAGTAAAATATTTAGAAGTTAATAAAGTGAAATATAAATAGCTACAAAGAGAAAAGTAATTTTACGTGTTATTGGTGGTTATGATGGACACGTAACTTGAAAATTGCAAGGATTTTACCAAACCTAAAATTCTTAAGAGAGGCGGGCGGTCGGGAAGCCTAGTGGTTAAAGCGTTCGCTCGTCACGCCGAAGACCCGGGTTCGATTCCCGACATGGGTACAATGTGTGAAGCCCATTTCTGGTGTCCCCCGCCGTGATATTGCTGGAATATTGCTAAAAGCGGCGTAAAACCATACTCACTCACTCACTCACTTAAGAGAGGCGGATAAAGACAATGAAATAAACTTTCCATATTCATATTAAGAATTTGTGTCAAACAAACACTCGATTGTATAATTCCGACCATATCATGAGTTTGTTTCCATTAATCGCCATCAAGTAGTGATAATACCAGCTGTTGGCGAAAAGGCGAGCGTATCCGCCTCCGCTATTTTCCCGGTTGCACCCCGTCACAAACACATGCAAAACCAAGTCAATTGTTCACCCGAAAAAAAACCAAGGGAACAAGTTAAAAAAGGGAACTGTATCAAGCATCATTTGGTCACTGATGAGTCAAATTTGGAAATGTCATCCACATGTCTACCACAAAACGTTTTAAAAGCTTTATGTTGTAACTAAGAACACTCTTTGAAATCACCGTGGAAAGAGCTTGCTCGAGTGTACCTCAAAAGTTGTGAAATGTAGACAGTTGGGAACCATTTTTCTTGGCTCACGACATATAAACGCCTTATTTCTTTTGAACAAATACATGATCATCGAGATTTTTCTATATCCTCTTATTCCAAAGGTGTTCAATTTTATAATGGATATGCGTTTCAAGCTTATTACGAGCATAACTGTTTCACACAATAACAAATAAGTTATCCTTGTGAAGACTACGGTATTGTTAATGTTTTTGGTTTTTTTTGTTTAACGCCGCACTCAGCAATATTCCAGCTATATGACGGCGGTTATTGTTAATGCCTGGCCCTTCCATACACTATAAGGATTCCTCGCTAGGATTTGTAAACGTTTTGTCCCTGTTTGTTTATGAAATTGTCCCACAAAACAAGATGGACATTTAAACGTAGTGTCCACACAGGTGTGCTACGTAAGGCGGCGTCTTTGATGTAGGTGTAAAGTTTTGACAGGTAAGTGAGTACACGCTCACCTGGTGGAGGCTACTTTAATGTACCGCTACCTCGTCGACGACTGCTACCGTTTTAATAAGGTAAACAAAGATATAGTTCTTATTGCTGTGAAAACAATCAAGATGTTTCAACTTAAACAGCATGGCGGCTATACATGAAGAAAGAATTCCTGATTATTAACAACACAGACGTGGGAGTAATGAGTGGGTGGTGTATGGTGGTTGACTTAAAAGAAGCCCGATGGTCATGGTACGGGTATAAAGTCGAAAACTTCCATCCTTGAGTCATCAGTCATAGAGCTGCCCTAATCGAAACCAGCAAGACTTGTCACCGAGATCATCTTCACATTTCGAGCATTTTCTCTTTTAAAAGTATTCTATACAATTACCACACTATAATGAAAGTGAAGAGCCCCGAAACCAAGCCAAGCAAGTGTACCGTCAACAAGACAATCGTTCCGGCAAGGAACAGAATCAAATACTCTGCTAGTCAGGTAAACATTTAATTGCTCGAAACGTGAATAGGAAGAAAACATAAACCATTGTTATTTCAAAAGTAAATCGAAATACAAATTTAACACGTTTTCACCTCCGCTATCCATATCCACAGTTGAGGCAACTGGAGAAGGTATTCGTGTCCTCTCAGTATCCTGACAGCTCCATCTTGGAGGATCTCTCCAACACCATCAACATCGACGTAGAGAGACTATCGGTAAGTAAATCCTCTTTATTACACCTAACAGAAGTTCTCGAAAGAGATAATTGATCACACAATACACAATATCATAGTGATATAAAACTCTCTTTCTTGTCCTTTTAAATGTACATAGGACCCATGAAATGTACTGAAGGGAAATTCTAACTTTTACTGCTTTATTCAGTTTATATGGTACATAGTTTGGACTTAAAGAATTGTTGTATATTTCATTTCATAATCTTTTCAACCCATATAATAGACCCTGATTTCATGAAATGTCTCTATAATAATGACCTCTTTCTGCCATACAGATCTGGTTCCAGAACCGCCGTTCCAAGTTCAAGCGTCAGTCTAAAGGTGCTCACGTGAACTGGATGAGACAGCAACTGTATCAACAAGGAACGTCACGGTCACGTGACGTAACGGCTACGGACGAGTGTCACGTGCTCACACCACCAACGACTTCCAAGAAAGATGACGTGAAAGACAAACCCAAATCAAAGTAAGTACACACCAAGTTAGTTACACAGGCGCGTAGTGGGCTCTTATTAGCTTCAACACAATGGCATGTCTGTCTCGGACTAACAACAATCTCTTCTCTTCTTCAGCCTCCACTACCTACCCAGCACTGGACCCGGCTGCTCCTCAGTGACGGACTACGACCCCGCCTACAACCCCCTGATGTACCCATCATCACACAACGTCTACAGCGCACTCAGTGACGCAGTATCCTGTACACGGCCTACCCAGAATACTCTCCACTACCCACATCTGATGACGGAAACATCCTTCCAAGTCACACCACGCCCGCAACAGTGGACAGAGTATTCCAACCAGTCCAACTTCAGCTCTCCCGGAACTCCATACTACCAGAATTATCTACCCCACTTCAACTTCCTAAGCGATCAGATGACATTTCCCCAGATAGGCGTCTAGAACTTTCGGGAATGTATTAGTGGTCAGATGAAGAACGAGGGCGTAATTTGTGCAATATGCACTGCAGTCCAATGTTGAACTCATCTTGGGCCTGCTTTGTTACTATTAATGTATATATTGTTGTGTTTACGTTATGGATTGCAACTGTCATTTGAAGAGGACTGTGTAAATGTTTCTGAGATAATAAACATTATCTGAAAACTATCATTTCATGTTCTTATGCAGCACGCATTTTCCCACTTTCATGTAAACCACGATTACAAATATCTTACTAACAAAGGATCCTAAACAGGCGAATCTTGGATTCGAACACATGATTGGTGGATGTTGGTTGGACTAAGAGACAAACCTCTTCACAGTTCAAATGAATCTGCTTGAAGGAAACTTTTATTGTGAAATTTAACCGTCTTTAGGTTGTGTGATATGAAATATAAAGCATTGTATAAATCATTTTTTTAGCAAAGCCACCCTCACAGATATAGATCCTCACCTTCTTCGAAACATGTGTGTTGCAACTGCGACAGATATCCTGCTTTGCTCAGGTCACATATTTAAGAGTGTTGTGGTTACATATGTTCCATCGTATATAGGTAATAACTAAAACATTAAATGAAGCTATGTTTTCAAGGCTTGAATGATACATTTGGCATCAAATAACACTCGTGTTAAACTTTGAAGCTGCTCAGTTACGGTCAATGTGATAACCCGATCTATGCCTGTAAGGTATTATCAACAACTTTCGAATGCACTTGTAATCGCCATGTTGCGTATATGAGCCAAACCTTCATGCTGACGTTATCGGATTATCGGGCGCTTCCTTTGGATACCATTGGCTTAATAACAAGTTACCGTCTGGGAGCGTAAAACATATATATAAGGCGTGTCGGACAAACCAATTACGTCAATCAGTACTGTACATACATTATATACCACTAGTTCAAACCATTCATTATTTCATATGGTGAGAGATACAGACTGATAAACGGGAAATTTACCTATAGGGTGACCCTTGTATTGCAGAAAAGCCAAGCAAGTAATGGTACAGCAATCACAGTATAAGGTGTCATTTACAGATATTTGGCTTATTACCACGAAAAAGTACATGGCAATAGTTTCAACAGCTTTAGAAAAGTTTGCCAAATCAATACTGACATTAAATTCTTCATAACCATCATTAAGGATCCGATTTTCTGTCAAAATACCATATGCATCTTCCAAATGTTATATATCAATTTATTTATGTGTCAGTTTAGGTACGTAATGTGTATTTCATTATCATATTGTGAGGCGCTAAATATACAGGTGAGGAACATCAAACGTCCCATGAAATACTTGCACCTTATCCCTCTATAAATTGTAAATATAGTTGCTGACTTTTCAGTTTCATGTGGGTTGTGAGTCTTCACTAAATATTAACTCCAAAAACATCTCTACACTTTAGTGTCAGCCAACTTCTAATATTTCGATCAAATGATAATATCCCTAACGTCGGAATATATAGAATCTGAGCGTGATCTTGAAATCGCTCAGTTAGCATAGAGTAAAATATTTAGAAGTTAATAAAGTGAAATATAAATAGCTACAAAGAGAAAAGTAATTTTACGTGTTATTGGTGGTTATGATGGACACGTAACTTGAAAATTGCAAGGATTTTACCAAACCTAAAATTCTTAAGAGAGGCGGGCGGTCGGGTAGCCTAGTGGTTAAAGCGTTCGCTCGTCACGCCGAAGACCCGGGTTCGATTCCCGACATGGGTACAATGTGTGAAGCCCATTTCTGGTGTCCCCCGCCGTGATATTGCTGGAATATTGCTAAAAGCGGCGTAAAACCATACTCACTCACTCACTCACTTAAGAGAGGCGGATAAAGACAATGAAATAAACTTTCCATATTCATATTAAGAATTTGTGTCAAACAAACACTCGATTGTATAATTCCGACCATATCATGAGTTTGTTTCCATTAATCGCCATCAAGTAGTGATAATACCAGCTGTTGGCGAAAAGGCGAGCGTATCCGCCTCCGCTATTTTCCCGGTTGCACCCCGTCACAAACACATGCAAAACCAAGTCAATTGTTCACCCGAAAAAAAACCAAGGGAACAAGTTAAAAAAGGGAACTGTATCAAGCATCATTTGGTCACTGATGAGTCAAATTTGGAAATGTCATCCACATGTCTACCACAAAACGTTTTAAAAGCTTTATGTTGTAACTAAGAACACTCTTTGAAATCACCGTGGAAAGAGCTTGCTCGAGTGTACCTCAAAAGTTGTGAAATGTAGACAGTTGGGAACCATTTTTCTTGGCTCACGACATATAAACGCCTTATTTCTTTTGAACAAATACATGATCATCGAGATTTTTCTATATCCTCTTATTCCAAAGGTGTTCAATTTTATAATGGATATGCGTTTCAAGCTTATTACGAGCATAACTGTTTCACACAATAACAAATAAGTTATCCTTGTGAAGACTACGGTATTGTTAATGTTTTTGGGTGTTTTTGTTTAACGCCGCACTCAGCAATATTCCAGCTATATGACGGCGGTTATTGTTAATGCCTGGCCCTTCCATACACTATAAGGATTCCTCGCTAGGATTTGTAAACGTTTTGTCCCTGTTTGTTTATGAAATTGTCCCACAAAACAAGATGGACATTTAAACGTAGTGTCCACACAGGTGTGCTACGTAAGGCGGCGTCTTTGATGTAGGTGTAAAGTTTTGACAGGTAAGTGAGTACACGCTCACCTGGTGGAGGCTACTTTAATGTACCGCTACCTCGTCGACGACTGCTACCGTTTTAATTAGGTAAACAAAGATATAGTTCTTATTGCTGTGAAAACAATCAAGATGTTTCAACTTAAACAGCATGGCGGCTATACATGAAGAAAGAATTCCTGATTATTAACAACACAGACGTGGGAGTAATGAGTGGGTGGTGTATGGTGGTTGACTTAAAAGAAGCCCGATGGTCATGGTACGGGTATAAAGTCGAAAACTTCCATCCTTGAGTCATCAGTCATAGAGCTGCCCTAATCGAAACCAGCAAGACTTGTCACCGAGATCATCTTCACATTTCGAGCATTTTCTCTTTTAAAAGTATTCTATACAATTACCACACTATAATGAAAGTGAAGAGCCCCGAAACCAAGCCAAGCAAGTGTACCGTCAACAAGACAATCGTTCCGGCAAGGAACAGAATCAAATACTCTGCTAGTCAGGTAAACATTTAATTGCTCGAAACGTGAATAGGAAGAAAACATAAACTATTGTTATTTCAAAAGTAAATCGAAATACAAATTTAACACGTTTTCATCTCCGCTATTCATATCCACAGTTGAGGCAACTGGAGAAGGTATTCGTGTCCTCTCAGTATCCTGACAGCTCCATCTTGGAGGATCTCTCCAACACCATCAACATCGACGTAGAGAGACTATCGGTAAGTAAATCCTCTTTATTACACCTAACAGAAGTTCTCGAAAGAGATAATTGATCACACAATACACAATATCATAGTGATATAAAACTCTCTTTCTTGTCCTTTTAAATGTACATAGGACCCATGAAATGTACTGAAGGGAAATTCTAACTTTTACTGCTTTATTCAGTTTATATGGTACATAGTTTGGACTTAAAGAATTGTTGTATATTTCATTTCATAATCTTTTCAACCCATATAAAAGACCCTGATTTCATGAAATGTCTCTATAATAATGACCTCTTTCTGCCATACAGATCTGGTTCCAGAACCGCCGTTCCAAGTTCAAGCGTCAGTCTAAAGGTGCTCACGTGAACTGGATGAGACAGCAACTGTATCAACAAGGAACGTCACGGTCACGTGACGTAACGGCTACGGACGAGTGTCACGTGCTCACACCACCAACGACTTCCAAGAAAGATGACGTGAAAGACAAACCCAAATCAAAGTAAGTACACACCAAGTTAGTTACACAGGCGCGTAGTGGGCTGTTATTAGCTTCAACACAATGGCATGTCTGTCTCGGACTAACAACAATCTCTTCTCTTCTTCAGCCTCCACTACCTACCCAGCACTGGACCCGGCTGCTCCTCAGTGACGGACTACGACCCCGTCTACAACCCCCTGATGTACCCATCATCACACAACGTCTACAGCGCACTCAGTGACGCAGTATCCTGTACACGGCCTACCCAGAATACTCTCCACTACCCACATCTGATGACAGAAACATCCTTCCAAGTCACACCATGCCCGCAACAGTGGACAGAGTATTCCAACCAGTCCAACTTCAGCTCTCCCGGAACTCCATACTACCAGAATTATCTACCCCACTTCAACTTCCTAAGCGATCAGATGACATTTCCCCAGATAGGCGTCTAGAACTTTCGGGAATGTATTAGTGGTCAGATGAAGAACGAGGGCGTAATTTGTGCAATATGCACTGCAGTCCAATGTTGAACTCATCTTGGGCCTGATTTGTTACTATTAATGTATATATTGTTGTGTTTACGTTATGGATTGCAACTGTCATTTGAAGAGGACTGTGTAAATGTTTCTGAGATAATAAACATTATCTGAAAACTATCATTTCATGTTCTTATGCAGCACGCATTTTCCCACTTTCATGTAAACCACGATTACAAATATCTTACTAACAAAGGATCCTAAACAGGCGAATCTTGGATTCGAACACATGATTGGTGGATGTTGGTTGGACTAAGAGACAAACCTCTTCACAGTTCAAATGAAT